GCAGTCACCCAGTTGGTTGTCATCTCTTACCACAGCCCTAGCCAACTAGTACAGACACTGTGCTGAATGCTTACTTCTCTGCGTGCACTGTTTCATTGGTTCTTTTCCAAACCCCATGTATTATTAATGGTTTTGGAAATAAAGAAAGGTGCGGCCAGAGAGTGTGAGGGACCTGACCAATGTCACTCAGCTCATAAGCTGAAGAGCCAGGATTCAAACTCAGCAGGTTAACTCCTCCACGGCCGGCACATGCTACACTCGGCCTAGTTGAAAACACGGGCTGATCATTCCCTTCCATTTCCTGGTGTTCCCCAAAAAGTCTACTGACTTATTGGGGTGTTCTTCTGCAGGTTATATTTTCAAATCACTCTTGTAGCGAGTGTAGAGAAATCAAAAACAGATAATCACCTCACAGGTTCTTCTTTGTGTAACATCTTGCAACTCATATTGCTTGGGAAAACTAAAAATCTCATTCTGATGGCTTATTCATTTACAGAAAGCTGATTTTGTCAGGAGGATTTGGTGAAACTCCTTTCTCCACCCCAATTTCATCTTGTGCTTATGAGAATCGCGCCATCTACTGGCCAATCCCCCGAGCTACATCCAAATCCTTAGAATGGTAAATCTTTCTGTGAGATACAGTCACCATTGCACTGCAGTTCACCGTCATGATTTGATTACTTCCCAGAAGCTAACTAGCTCATCAGCTGGCCTTTGGAGGATATTTTAGATCCAAACCATAACCTTTTACCTCTGGTGCCTAAAGTCGACGTCCATCTCATTATGGGAGATTTATTTAGTCCATTTCCAAGAGGTGCCAAAGGCTTAATAGTTCCAGCACTGATCAGAAGTCCAAGTCCAATGTCTCCTGAGAGAAGCAATGCAATTTTTAGCTGTGACTGTCCTTAAAAAATAAAAACCAAATCAACCTACTTCCAACATTAAATGGTGGGATGCACAGTAAACATTTCCATTCTGAACATTCAGAATAAGAAAACAGCAAGGAGGAATCAGACCAAAGTAACACTGAAAGGCAGTAGAACACATCCTTCTCCTGTAGCTCCCCATCTTGTATCTGGGGCAAATAGTCCATGGTGCATGGACTCCAGTGTGCATGGGCAACTCCCCCTTACAAAGCCTGCGGGCTGCACCCACATTTCCCATCACTTGGGCTGTCTTTGCTTGCTGTCTGCAGCTTTTCTTGGCAGATATTGCATGGTCACGGCATTTACAACCTCCTAATCTCTCCAAGGCAACTTCGGTATCACTCTCACATCTTAATTCACTGTCCTATTCTCCTTTAAATTGCATGTGTTGGGTATTTTGTTCCTGTGATGCGAAAGTGACTCGTACAGAAAATTGGTATCAGAGAAATGGGGTCTTCACTGTGGCTATAACTTAACAGGTGGCTTAGAAGCCTTGGCAGCTGCTTTGTAGATGGAGTTTCAAAAGGTTTGGAGATGTGAGCTGGAGAAGTCCTTGCCTTCTGTAAACTCAGCTTGATGGGTGATTCTGGTGAGAACTTAGAAGGCCTTAGTGCTGATACAAATGCAGATAGTAAAGGCCAGGCTCAAGAGTTTTCAGATTGGAATACGGCCTCTATTCGAACCTGGACAAAGGGCATGTGTGTGTGTGTCATTCTGGCAAAGAACTGTTCTATATTTTGTCCATGTCCTAAGACTTTGTGTGAGGCTGAACTTAAAGGCAGCAGAGCAATTAATATTGTGGAGAAAATTTAAGGCACCCTAATGCTCGGGCTGCGACATGCATGGGTACTGCTGGCTGCTTTTAGGCAAATGTATAGTGAAAATTCTGGAGGAGAGTCAAAACATATGAAAAGTTTGACATTTATTCACAATGGAAGCACTTGCAAAGTTGATGCCAAGGAAAGTGTGGGTGCTGAAAACATTGGCACCACTGAAAAGAAGCCAAATATTTTGCATCAGGACAGTAAGAAAGATACCTTTCAGGCATCTGAGTAAATGTCCAGACTCTACCCACCTTAGCCTCAAGGATATCATTAGGGTAAACGCTGAAACACTTTGTTTTGAGAAGAAAGCCCCAAGATCCCCTGCTCATTTGGGCCCACCTAGGGAACTGTTTCCCTAAGATCATCCAGCCAAGCACTCAGAGGCCACTGCAGCGATGGTCCAATGGGTACCTAGAGCTGATGGCAGATCTTAGTGTAGCCCAAGTTCTGCTGGTTTTTAGTCCATGCAGAATGCAAGAGTTATGGCTCCCACTCAACCAGCAAGGGAATAGCTGGAAGGCCAGGACATGTATCCTTAAGAGGGCAGTGTGTGAAGATGTGGGATTAAAGCCAAGGTGCAGCAGAGACCCCAAGGATTTGGAGCTTCCAGGAATGTGTACTGAGGAAAGCTGCAGGCAATAAGCAGAGCCATCAGAAGGGAGAGGCCTTGTAGGCTGCAACCAGTACGGCTGTAGGAGCAGAGCCCTTTATAAATTGCATTGAACAGCTTGTGCCAGGTGCTGGACATGGAACTATTGGATTTAGTCTTTGTGTTTGCCCTCCTAGTGTTTTTATCTTGCTTTGGCCTAATTCCTTTTGATGCCCCCATCTTTCCTACTTGGAATGGGAATGTTTACCCTGTGCCATTGTGTGTTCGAAATATCTAACATTCTTTTTCACTTTTACACAGTCTCACAACTAAGGGTTTCCTTAGGTGTCAGAGGAGACTTTGGACTTGGACTTGTCAGTAATGCTGGATCTTTTAAGAACTTGTTGACTCTTAGACATGGTCTGAATGCATTTTTGCATAATGACATGGACAGGAGCTCTTTGGAGGCCAAAGGCAGAATATTATGGTTTAGATCCAAAATGTCCCCCAAAAGTTTCATGTGTTCAGAGGTGCAGCCTCTTTGGAAGAGGCGGATCACTAGGGACATGACCTGAAAGGCTGTATTCTTGTTTCTGGCTCCCCCTTCTCTATCTGCTTCCTGGCTGCCATGCTGTGAGCAGCTTTTCTCTGCTATGCCCTTTCACTAATCCATTTCTGCCTTGGAGCTGGCCAATCATGTATGACCTGACACATCTGAGACTGTGATCCAAAACAAACCTTTCCACCTCTGAGTCGTGGGCGTTGAGTATTTTATCCTGGGAACAGGAAAGCGAGTAATACAGTAACCAAGGTCAAGCCCCTGACCTACAGCATTCACCTAGGCCATACCTCCTAAGAGCGCTTTCAACTATGAACTCATCAGTGCGTTAATCCATTGATGAAGTTATGCCTTCGCGATGTCATCATCTCTCCAAACTGCAACAGCTGGCCTTTGGGGGACAGTTGTGCTCTAAACCACAGCACTCTCTGTTGAAAATAAGAATAAATAGAGACCTCTCATCATCTCTCCTGTCAAACTTTCTCAGTCATTCTCAACTGTTTCGTTTTTGCTCTGGTTTCGGTGTTTTTGTTGGTTTGCTTGGTGTTTGGTTTGTGAAGACAGGGTGTCACTGTATAATTCAGGCTGGCCTCGAACTCATGGCAATCCTGTTGCCTTAGCCTCCCAAGTGCTGGGGTTACAAGCACAGGCCACCATGCCAGGCTCTTGCCAGGCTATGAACTCAGGAATGTTTCCTGGAACTCATCTCTTTGAAATAAAATCAAGAAATGTAAATCTCTGCCTCCCAGGTTCCAGCAGGAGATTGCAATTAACTTGTAACCTGACTCCAACTTACAAAACATACCCAAAGTAACGCACTGTAGCCTTTATTTAGCCAGACAACAGAGATTCAGTTTTTTACTGTCTTGGTGATCTCTATAGCTAGTCACCTCTAATACATGTCACATGGTAGTTTAAAATGTATTTCGTTATAATATTGATAGTTATGGAAGGGTTTCTGCATTGAGAGGAGATTTTGTTTTTAATTGAATTTCCCCCAAAGTAGTACATATATGGACTAGACACGTACATGTACCAGGGAATCCTTTAAAATTGGAGGGATTGGAAAAAAATTCAGTCATTGTCCTGCTTGAGTCTATTTTGCCCTGTTTAACTTAGTCTCTTGAAGTTGTTTCTCCTTCCCAGCTTCATGCAATGCTGGGATCAGAAACTTCTGCCCAAGTCCTGGCACCATCACAAATCCACAAAACCAGACCTGCAACCAGACTCCACAGCCTAACCAAGATTACTATGAATATTCATGGTTTTTTAACTGCCTTTTATCATTTCCCCACAAAATCCTTGCGCTGTTGTCCAGCTATGTTTTTGTTATTGAATTTATTATCTTTCAACATGTCAATATTTTGCTATTCTTTATATTTGAATCATTTATGATTTTACTGTGAGAAGAGATTACTGCCTATTCTTATCGTTCATTCCAAGTTCCCAGAGCAGTACGTGGATTATAATTAGTAATCAACAAATTTTTACTAAGCGAAGGAGTAATACATTGTTTTTTGTCTCGGCGAATAGGGGATTGAACTCGGGTCTGTGCACTTGCGAGGCAAGCTGCGGAACCACTGACCTAAATCAGATGCAGCAAAAACATATATTGCAGAGAAAATTAGGTAAGCAAGGAATAAGTGGCAGCAAAGGATCATCAAAGAACTCCATGATAAATTACGGTATAATCTATACTATACATTACTACAGAGAAATTTCTCTCTAAAAGGAGTCCTAGTGTAAAAGACCGGTACTGAGGATCCCCTAAAATGTTACATACTCACAGGACACTCAATGAGATCCTTGCTGCAGAGTAATTGCAGACCACCCACTGTGAGCCCAGTCCTCACGCTTAAGTATCATTCTGGGTTTTTTGTCTGTACAGATTTCTGCCACACTTTCCACACACATACACACACACACACACACACACACTTCCCGAGAACATACTCAAAGCTCAGCCCCAATGGTGTTTTTGAGAGACCTTCCTTCCGGTGCCCTCCATTTTGATAGGAGGAGCCATTATGTTCCCCTCCCACTGCCACGCATTGGGTACAGTGTACACGTGACGTCTAGTTGCACCCTGATTGGCTGGACTGAGCAAGTGGCGCTCCTGCAAACGCCCTCTCCTTGAGGGCGGTTAAAGGCATCTCAAACGCCTGTGGTGGCGCCGCACAGTGACTACTGTTCTGGTCACACCGCACAGAGGCTGAAGCGGCGGAACAGGCCTGTGACCTGAGGGAGTCAAGACCGAAGAGGCCTTGTGCTACTTCTGTGTGGTGAGGCGGCGTCCGGGCCGGTGGTGACAGCAACATGATGAGGCTTCTGAGGCGGGCTTTGACTTTCTTCCGGAGGAGGCGGGTGAACCCCCAAGAAGGTCAGCAGTGGCTCCTGCTAGGTACTCTTCGGTGTGGGCCTTGTCTGCCCTGAAAGGAGTGTCCTCAAGGGGGCGCCTAAACCTTGCTCGGGAGCGGGGTGGGGGTGTGCTCACTGCCATTTTGTGCCTAAGAGTTTTCGGGGAAGGGCGTCAAAATAGTCGGAGACCTATATCCATGCGTGCCCATCCCTCTCCTGTTGGTCCAACGCTGGTCCAAAGCTGGAAAGTGTTGGACCAACACAAAGACATAGTGACAAGAGAGGAGAGTACTAGTGCATATCTCTAATCTCAGTACTCTGGGAGGCAGAGGCAGGAGGATCTTAGGTTTAGTTTCTTACATAGTTTCTCTCTCTCTCAATGTGTGTGTGTATTTTTTTTCTCAGAAATCAGTAAATCTTTATTGGCTTCCATTCTTTCGGCATTAACATAAAATTGGAGAAAGCAAAAATGTTTTGTGTTTACAAAGATAAATGGCCTCTTTACCCAGGGTTCGAAACCTCAAGCGGGGATGATAAGAGCGCCCTCCCACACATCCCCCGAGCTGATCCTTGTCATCTTAAAACAAAGCTTCAGTCCACTGGCCATGGATCCTGGATGTAGCCAATTCAAGATGAGGGCCAAGGAATCAGACCAATCCAGTCCCGGGGTATAAAGTCGAACAGAAGCTACACCAAGGGTCTGGTGCCTGTATTGAACAGGACACAGGAACCAGGCGGCTACTTATAAAAAAACAAAATTGATTTCAGGCACAACTTTTTTTTTTCTTATTCGTTCGTTTTTAAATCAGTAAAAGAAACTGGGTCCTAGAAGCTGCAGTGACCTAAGCAGCAGCAAATTTGTGCATTCCTCCTTTTGTTTTCTTTAAATAGGATTAAATTATCACACTCCTGGCACACTTCATTGGGATGAAATTCTGCACCTTATGTACTAATTGTAAAGTTATTAACCCCCCATCCCGGGGGAAAAACTACTCTGGAAGATAATTTTCACTGAAATCTTACCAAACTCTGTTAAGTTATGGTAACAAGATTATAAATGATATGAAAAATAACATTTTCACATTTGGCCATCAACTAAAGTAAATGGTTTTGCCTGTACAAATTTTTGTAATTTAAAAAATGTCATATATTCTACCCTCCTATGGTCCTCAGAATTAAAGCAAAGGGAAGAGGAAAGAAAAGGAAAAGAATGCAACTGATTGCTAAGGCAGAACACCTTGCCAGGAGTAATAATGAAGGGTTAGCATATATATAATATACTACAATATTTATATAGTATATGAAAGTAATATATAGAAGTATTTATAATATAAATATAGCAACACAATATATAATGCATTATATATAAGTCTATATGCTATATTATATATGAGTATATCTATATATGTTCATACTGGGCAAGTACTTTACCACTGAGTGAGCTACATCCCTTACACTTTTTATTCTGAGGTAGGATTTTATTAGTTCCCCAACACACCTCGAACTTGCGATCCTCCTGCCTCAGCCTCCTGAGTGGCTCGGATTAGAGGTCTGTGCCACTATGCCTGCCAAATGATTTCATTTTAAGAGTACAATTCAATGATATTTTTTGTAAATTTACAGAGGCATGAAGTCATCACCACTGTCTAGGTTTTTACTATTTTGATGGGTAATATCCAATTACCTTTGAGGTGTATTTTACTAATTGATACTCTTAGCAGCAGGCTGTGAGACTTGTCAGTAATGGCAAGGATGGATACATAATCCATCTGAAATCCTTGTTAATGTTACAAGTGAAAAGCAGTCTCATAATTTACTTGGGATTTCCTTTTCCTGAGACCACAGCGAGTTCTATTTTACTTAGACCTATTTGTATTTTAGAAATATAGGAAATTTGTTAAGAAAATTAAAAGCCCCATTAGGAAAATTAGTTTATGAAGATTTGCACTTACACTCGCAGCACCATAATTTGACTCTGTTTCGTGGTGCTCAGTTTTTATATACTATAGATATTTCCATCTTGACCATGTGGCCTTTGGGCTCAGGCAGTATTCTTAGAGAGGTTTAATGCAATGAATAATTAGCACAAAGATTTACTTAGTCTTTTCTATAAAAGTTTATTTATTTACACATAGACATGCAGTAAGCCTGGGTGTACGCAGACTGAGGGAAGGAGCCTCGTCGCGTTTTGCTAATTTCTATCCAGTTGTCCTTTACCGGAAGTCCTACAATCCACTTCACCTCTGTTGTGTAAAAGGCCTCATAAAGCTTTGCAGATGTCTGCGTCCCCCACTGTGTTAGCAGTGTCTGCAAGGGAAAAGGAATAGAATTGAGAGTGTAGGAGTCAGACAGGAAACCTTGGGGAAGGTTGACCCTAAAGTATGGCTGAGAGTTAATGGGGACTCAGGGCCCAGGGAAGTCAGAGGGTGTGATGGATCAGTCGTGGTGTATAGAATGAAAGTGCGTCTGGGAGAAAGGACTATGTGGGAGGAATTGACAGCTAGAAAGACTCCAATAGAGAAAACGGGACTGACTAGCAGTGAGATAGGCTTTGAAAAACACTGAAAAATCTTTACATCTCAATGGCTCATATTTCCACTAGAAATGTTTGAACAAGAAATAGGATTTCAAGGATTTTGTGCTGAAGACATCAGGTCATTAGGCAATGTATTTTGAAGTATGAAAAGTAAATGTCATATGAGTGGGTCATTTAATATGACACATTCATTCGTTGGGATGCCATGTTACCTTTTCAGTGATCTCTTGTTTTATAAAAATATCAATGATCTTTATTGATACTATAACGATGTTAAATTTTGTTTTAAAGGCAGAGGATATATATTCATACATCTGGAGCATGGTAAATAGCAAAATGTAGTCCATAATTCTGCCCAGGTAATAGAATCAGGGATTACAAGCCACTGTTTTCTGCTTTGTGCTCATGTGCTTATTTCTTCTTATTCTATAATCAACATGTATCATTTGTGTAATTCAGAAATTTAAATATGAGGATGATTAGTTCCAATGAGCTGAAATATCTGTAGTCTTCTCCATCTTAGGTAAATTAAGCCCTGATGTGACTTGTCTTCGTTAGATCTCTTCCCACTGTGGTTATTTCTCCCATTTTGTCTCGTGATCCTGAGTGTTATGATTTTCTGCCCCATTTCCCTAACGTGTATTTACTGTTCTTCTGTCTCTCCCTGCTCCTGCCTCCACCTCTATTTACAAATAATCCGTTTCTTTCTTTTTTCCCTCACACAGAGCTCAAGTCTCCCAATGATCAGGTACTGCCTTGATTTTCTCTTACTCTAATGTTTTCTCCCCCTGGGAATTTGTGGAAACCAATTTCAAACTTGATTTATACCCATCATCACAAGTTACTTAGATCTGGATATTTTGCATTTTATGGTGTTGAATTTTGCATTTAAAAGACCCGGATATTATGTATTTCTGTCTTTGGACGTCACACTGCAAAGGCATTAAACATGGATGCCCAGTGAACACGCTGGATGCAGTTTAACAATCCATAATGCACAGGTATTAGTTTTACGCTCATCTCACGTCAGCGATGTATTTGCCAAGTGAAATATACGGACTGGTATGGAGGGGGATTATATAAAGTATTTCCTGAGCACAGGGATTATTTATTTTGGAAGAATCCATGCAGCTGTGCCAGGCTAGTTGGTGAAATTGCAGTGGTCCTGATGGGGCTTCTTTAGGAGTCTTACAACTTCCTCGTGTTATGGGAAGATTTCTTTTGTTTGAAGCAATTCTGTGTCTTGCAGATGGAGGTTGTCGATGATCATGTTGCTGACTCCGGACCATCGGAACCTGAAATCAAAGTTCTACTTGGTTGTGTCACCTCTGTAAGGGACGGTATTGCCTGCATTAATAAAGAAGTTTCCTTCCGCAGAGATACTTTTTGTGAAGGTATGATTGCGTTTTGAAAAAGGTGTAGTAGAAGTGGTAATGTTATTACGTACTTGGCTCCGGTTAGCATCTCTAAAGATGTGGATCGGGCTCTGGAAAATAAAAATAATAGATAATTTAGATAAAATAGCTGATATTTACTTAAAAAATCGCTGCTTTGATTTCTTCTATATGAATACAAGCATTAGTGCCTTGTATATATTTTCAATAATGAAAATGTTTAATTTGTAATTGATAAAAACATTCTACAATGTAAAGGATACTATCTTTTTTGTTTTGTATTTTCAACATATATCAAATTCTTCAAATTAACAGTGGAGATAACCTAATAGCGCCTGCGCAGTTGTGTGTGTGTGTGTGTGTGTGTGTGTGTGTGCGTGTATTCCTGTGTTGGTAGCAGCCAGGCCCAGCCTTGTGCTCTCACCTGTGTACTACACCGCCCCTGCCAAAGGAGTTGTGAATGGGACCAGGTGATTAACGAATCCTTTGCTGGGCCAGAGAAGCTGGCACAGTAGAGGTGACTTAAGGGTTAAAGAATTGTAAACTTCGCTCTGGTACAAGCATTTATAAAGT